TACTGCTATTTTATTTATTTATTTATTTATTTATTTATTTATTTATTTATTTATTTATTTATTTATTACATTTATGCCCCACCCATCTAGACCGAAGTCTGCTCTGGGCGGCTAACAATAATAGATATAATAAAAACATATAATAAAAAATATTGGTAATATGGTTCAAGATAGGAAAAAAATAGTCACATGATTTTTCTGGAAACAGTTATATGTGATGGAGGTTTCGCGTGTGTTTTGAAATAGACATATCTACAAGGGTGGTGTGTGTTTTTTTCAAAATTTGGTGCATTCCATAGTTTACTAATGCTGAAACAATTTATTTTTATTTAATTTGTTTGCTGGAATTATTTGTATCCATTTTTCAATGTAATCTTCTAAAGTGCCTTACAGGAAAACATGCATACTATAACAACAATAGTATACAATATGAAAAAAATCAAAGAAAGCACTACAGATAAACTGCAGCACTAACCCTCATTCACATGGACGAGATATTTTAGTCCTCCAGAATTACGTTTTGTTACAGAACTCACAGAGAACTAGACCTTCAAGGTCAGCATTCAATAACACTGTCATCAGAAGAGTTGCAAACAATATACCTGAGTTTCCGTCACTTGCCATAGGCAGTCTTTTGGGTTATTCTTATTTTACAGACATACCCAACAAACCAAACCGGAAATATCCAGTTAATGTCATGTATTGGGACAAAAAAGTCCGATACAGGGCCTTTTGGCAATCACAATGCTGAGAAATAGAACTGACATGCTCACTGATTGCCGGTAGGTTGATCCCATTTAGAAGGAAATGGTCATTGGAAACCTCAGTAGGGTCAAGAGATGCAAGATATATAAATGGAACTGTTACTCTACTGCTCATCTTGGATACACTGGAATTCCAATGGAGTTCAAAGATCCTCAGAACACAGTGAGTTCTTTTCTTAATCTTATGACTAAGAATTAAAAACCAGCAGAACACAATAAAATTGACTTTCCTATAGTCTGATCTCCCAGTTGTAACAGCTCCCTATAACAGATGAACAGAAACAAGATTTTTCAATCAAAATATGAACTTAAAAGGGTGAGGCATGTCAGGCACAATTAGAGGAGACTCACTGAAGTTGATGGGATTTGAGAATGATGGAAGTTCAATCAATTTCAGTGGGTCTAATCTGAATCTAGATCCAATCCATTGTTGTGTTATATTTTTACTGTCATTGGACCTTCTCACCCATTGTGTTGCCTGACTGGCAGCAGAACCAGGCCAATTTATTTTGCTGCCTGAGCCAAAGAATAGCATCCCCTCCATACGATCTGCAGAAGCCAATTGCACTGACAATTCAGTCTCTCATCAACAGTCACTATGGGTCATCCACCACAAAACATGGTGCTTTACAGGATAAAGAACAAGCCTGTCCTTCAAGAGAAGGGAATAGCTTAAAGGCTTCAATTATTCTTCCCCTCAACTAGCATCTGCCACCTGAGATCCAACCTTGACTGGAAGCATCTCCCCAACATTTCAGACAGAGTTCTTTCCCAAACCTGTTATCTGAGTTTCTTTAAGTTGAAGACACTGGAGGTTGCATTTGAGACTTTCTATACGTGGAGTTTGTGCTGCAGCATTAAAGTATGTGTAGGCCATCCAAATGTATCCTTTGATTATTATTTTCTTTCTCTTGGCTAAAGTAGATTAAAACAAAACATCTTGTTTTGCCAAGCACTGATTGCCACAACATTTTGATTGGCTTTATGGATGTCTGCCTTCATAGCTGTCTTCGTGGATGTCTACAAGATGCTGCCACTCAAATGCTAGGCTTGCTTTGTTTTCAGTGTAATCCTTGAAAGCTGTTTTCTCCCTCCACTGGAGCTGTCATCAGCTTCTTTGTTTCATTCTCCCATCCTGCAGCTGATTCAGACAGTGAGTGCGGTAGACCAAGATGACCCACAGGAGGGACACCACTTCTACTACAGCTTGGCTCCGGAGGCAGCTAACAACCCCAATTTTACTCTGAGGGACAATCAAGGTAATCAAAGTAGACACTCATTTGTTTTGCTAACTAATGTCTTTTGCAAGGAGTTAGATGAGAGAGGCTCTGGCTTAACACTACGTCATGGGACTGTCGTTGCAAATAATGTCAAGTGACACCAGCTTCTTAGAGGCAGGAGTGAAGTGACATATTATTTTACACTTTAGATAGTTATACAGAGTTTATGCCTGTTTAAATATTTTCTAGTGACAGGTTCCTTTATTTTGAGGAAATATGCCAATGTTGTACAAAACCAAGCCCTCATCATCAGACTTTGGGCACCTTCTGTTAATGGGACACCAAATGTTTTAAAGGTGAGGCTTAGAAGTCCAAAATGGGATGGTATTAGGGAGATTTTTTTTTTGCTCATTTATGTGTCTAGTGTTTTCCCTGGAGCACATAAATATAATTTCAGTCTTTCCTACATTCTGCCTTGCCTTCATTCTGTTCTTCTTAATGTAATTGCTGTTTTCCTGTAAAATGTAAGGGACTTCATGTGGGACAGTATTTGGCATAGAGATATAAAATATGTATTGTTTTAGTTTTTGTAAATGTAAAGCTAGAAGTGTGTGAGATGTGGCCATGAGGAGCCAGAAAAAAAAAACACTAGTCACCCAAGTCAGGGATAGAATATTATCCATTGTGAGAGTGGAAAAAAAAGAAACATGTCCCCATATTTGGAATGACAACCAGAATATTACTGAGAGTTTGATATATCAAGGTTTATATGGCAGAATGAGGCCAATGATGTTCCTGAATATTCAAAAAAAACATGCAGCCTGCAATGGCTTACTTCATATTCCCCTCTTTTACAACTAATGCCACCTTCTAGCATCCCAAACTCACTTTTATAGTCATCGTGACCGGTGCTGAAAATTAGGATATTAGCTTTACCAACTTGTGTCAGGAAGACAATGGAGGTGAAAGGGAAGAGAGAGAAGACATCAGAGGTTGAAGAAGGGCACCCAGCAAAGAAAAAGAAGAATTGAGGTGTGAGGGAGAAATGCAAGGGTAGAGGAGGCGACAGGGGAACACCCAGAAAGCCCCCAAGGGAAAGGAGATATGAGGGACTAGGGAGAAGACATTGGGTGATTAATTGATTGGGTTGAGGGATGAAAATTATCTAGGACTGAAACCTGTATTTTAACTGAGAGCCTACTGGGAAAATAGGGTTCAACCTAAAACAGCTCACTTTACAACTGCCTTCAGGGAAACAGTTATGCTGTAAGTACAGTTGTCTGTTGTTCCTGGACATTACCTATATGTAATTAGGTTTAGTTAAGATGTTAAATAAGGAGTTGGCAGAACCTGGAACTATGTGGGTGCCTTTAGGTGTGTGTGTAAGAAAAGGAGAGAGAGAGAGATGTGGAATCCATTTGACTGTACTATCTTTATCCACCTTGGTTAATCATATCAAATTTGTGTGAAATGCATTTGTTTGGTAAAAGTATCATCCCTCTCCACATCCCACCCCGGCAGCTGGAATTTAAAGGAGTCACTAAATATAAACAGTTATAATGTTTCTGAGTTGGACTCAGACCTAATAAATAAAACTTTTTTTCTAAAATGTTAACAAAAGTGAATATTCATGCCCATGAAGGAGGCTGAAAAGGCCAAGTTGAAATGAGTTGGGCTTTTATTTTCAAATAAAGTGCACACTACAAGTTTTGCATCCTGGTACTATAGTCTCTCCCTGCCTAAAGCTTTGGTGGATGCACCAGTTCCTTTTTTGCTATAGGTTTACAACATGATCTGTTCCAAGACATTCCATTCAATTTCACTTTCTCTCCCATTCTCGCCATTCCATTCCCGAAGGGTCACCCAGCATTGCATGGCTGCTGAGCAGCCTCAGGTCTCATTGGGCTGTTGCACAGGTGTGTTCTTTATTTCCTAAATACTTTTTGCACTTCGCACATCTTGGGTTTCTTCTAAGCCTTATGACACCTCCCCTTTGTGCACGGGTGATGCCATTTTAGTTATATAAGGACCAAAAAAAAAGAGTTTTCCACGAACTTGTGGAACACAATAGAAATAAACAGCACTGTAGCATCACCTAGTGGTAGAACTTACTTCAGCATCTGGAAGGAAAGGAAAGATTTTTTAAAACTCCAGTTAACTTCTACGGAAAGGGTTCCCATACCCCCAAATGTGACTGACTATTGAGGACATTTAATCCTCATAAGCAGATAGATAATTTCCACATAGATGCTTTACTCTGAATTATTATTTTGTGTGTTTATATTTTATCTGTTGTGGTATGTGAAACAGGTTGATATTTATTCCTGGGTGGTTACTCTTCAGATTGCCACACTGAAGAACCAAAAAATAAGTGTAGACATCCTACACTGAGAGGCCTCATGTTCCTTTCTACTGAATTCCTCCTCAAGCACACTGCTTTCACACCACTACTTTTGGGGTGCTTGTAAACCATGGCAACTCCTAGCAGTAGCCAAAGTGAGATGTGTACCTCTAATAGCAGATGGGGGGGGGTTTCAAGAAAAGGATAGGTATTTAACATATCAGTGGCGGAAATCTTGCTGTGTTGCATCAGCAACACTGGCAGCTCAACACTGGTAAGAGGCTTCCTTTAGTGATTTCATAATGTGCACATATACAATCTGGTGAAGCCTTCTGGACCCCAAAATTGCCAAAGGAAGTTGTTTAATCAGCAGCAATTTCCTAGTGCTGCATGACAGGGTTTCAGCCAAAACTATATGTTTTGTTTCAGGGAAGAGGAGAAGCATTTGTCAGGTTTGGTTTGGTTTTGCCTCAAATACCAAAATAACTTGACTTGAGGGAGAGGCTTTTACTGCAGTGATTCAAACCCAAAACATGTTTTGAACTGGTCTTCCCTCCAAGACTCACAGGACAGATCCGTAATCCTGTTCGTTGTTGAAAACAAGGCATTAAGTGGGTCAATGAGGTAGTAATCTTGTATCTTCAGGGAGATATTTGGAAGTTCATTTTCACTCACACACCACCCCAAAGGACAGGGGAGTGAGTGAAAGCCCACTTCTGCAGTCAGTCCTTCTCCATCCATTGTCATGGGTCGTTAACAGTCATTAACAGTGGTCTTTCTGGTGTGTGTCCTGTTCTTTCTGAGGAGGGATGAAATGTTGAATGAAGTGGGATTTTTCACTCACCCCCCCCCAGTCCTTTTTCCATCTAAGGAGCCTATCCAGACCAGGGGGAAGTGAAACCAATGTGGAGGATAGATCAGGGGTCTCCTACCAACTCTCCTCAGACTGAAAAAGCTACTTGGACGAATAGCTAAACATTTCAGCCTAATACTAAGAAAGAAGTCCAGTTGCCATGACTCAACTTCCAAATAACTTCACCTGGATAACTGAGAATTTTCACAGATATATTACTTTAGGAAGATAATTTATACTGAAAAGTGGCTTTAAAAAGCCATGAGCACAGCAGTCCTGACAAATAAGGGCGGGAAGTCCCACAAGTAGAGAGGGGACCTTATCTGGCTGGAAGACAGGCAGGCACAGTGCTTTCCTCTCTGTGGCACCGTTTGCTTTAGCACTGGTTGCTTCAACTAGAACCAACAGGGATGTTGGCACGTCCTTGGGCCGAGTCCCAAGTCCAAGTCTCCGGTATCAAGTCCTAAGTTCAAGTCCCCATTAAAAACAACCTTTTCCCCCTAGAAAAAAGGAAGGGGTGGGGTGGGTTCCGTGTTGAGTCTGAAATTAACAGGGATGTTGGCACGTCTTTGGGCCGAGTCCCAAGTCCAAGTCTCTGGTATCAAGTCCTAAGTTCAAGTCCTTATCAAAAACAACCTTTGCCCCTAGAAAAAAGGAAGGGGTGGGGTGGGTTCCGTGTTGAGTCTGAATTGTTGGGGGGGGTGGGAACCTGAGTAGAGTCACTGATGCAACTTAAGTTCAACTTGGCAGTCAGTCCTGTGACTTGAATCCTCATCCCTGAGAGCCAGTAGGAGAGAAATTATGTATGCCTGTTCCAGGGCAGGCATGTATTTCTACCAATGTTAGGAGTGTGCACAGGGGATTGGGGGGAGCTGGAAGGTCTTTAAATGCTTCCTATTTAAAACTTCTTGTGACTTCCCAGGACGTATACTGCTTATCTACCCTCTTTTTCCATCTACCAACATCCAATTTTCCAACAGACAAAGGGCCTGGTGCAGACTGGCCATTTTGGGTGTGGGGTGGATCAGGCCACAAAAAAGTCTTATTAAAGTCTCTTCCTCCAGTGGTGCCATTTTGTTTTTTCCTTCCCCGCACTGCTGCCTACTTTCCCGTGTTCTTCCCCCACTATCTCTCACACAATAGCTGCCGGAAGCTGAGGGTGCTGGAGGCTGATTTCTCCCACTTAAACAGGTGCATCAATGAGCATGCCAAAAAGATTGTGTGCCCTAACTCTGGGTCAAAAAGGTCTGTGACAGCTCTTAAAGGGGAAGGATGGATTTTTCTAAGTAGAACCACTTGCGGGTGAGGTTTTTGTTTTGTTTTAATCCAAACTGTGCCACCAGAGATCCATATACTATATCTATATGCCAGTGTATACAGGCCTAAAGACTGTGCAAGTTTCATGGGAGGCCAGGAAAGGAAGTCACATTTTCCCTTCTGAGGGCAAGCCTCTCTTTTCATCTTCAGAAAGGAATGGTGGTGTAAAGGATTTTCAAAGAATCATAGAAAGCCATGCATAAAGTGTTGTAAAAGTAAATGCAAAAGTGAATTTTTTAAAATTAGTGCATTTGTCCTTCAGCGATAAAGTGGGAGTTTTTTTAAAAAAGAATGCAACTCAGAAGCAGAGGTGTCTTCTCAGATCAGTATATCATAGCTGTAAAACTGCCTGTATCAGTTATTTAAAAAGGGACACCAAGTTTTCCAGGGCATAGCCTTGCTGGAACACACTGTGACCTTGTCTTTTTTCCTTTTAAACAACTGTGGCTGATGAAGTGAGGCGGGGGGGGGACGACATCACTACCACATCCAAGCTCACTTAATCCTGCAGGCATCATGCTAAAAAAGAGGGAGGACGTAAAAACTGTTGGTAAAAAATTTTCACATCAGATGTCTTTTTTTTCCTGAAGTCAACATACGGTATAATTTGGAGTGACATCAGTGACTAGGTTGCTATTTCTTGTGCTTTATTGTCGAAGTGTAGTTTTTGAGTCCATCCATTTCACCAGTCACAAAAATTGACATTTTATAGGTGCATGTCATTTATCAGCTGGTTCTGCCCCTTGGCACTTAATATTCATTTAAATGCTGAGCCAGTGCCTTTTTTTAATGGGGGTCTATGAATTAGAAATACTTGGCTTTCAAAATCCTAACAGATTTTGTAATATGGTGTAATGTCGAATAATGTAAAAACAATTTAGTCCATTTCTGCATTATATTAAGCACCATAATTTCACATGTTGCTTGTTTTGTATAATTCAAATATTCTGTAATAAATATTATGATATATGTAATAGATGCACAAATTGACCTAAATGAATCTTTTCCTGCTTAGGGTGGATCCCACAGATCATAATCATCATCACTATCATCAGCTAATATTCTTAGGGAGTCTAATTCACAAGTTAGTTTTGACCCAATATCTACATTCAGCCCAGTTTTGTGCAATATCAATGTGTTGTAGCTGCCACCTAAATATCACTTCTCTACTGTCAGGTTTCACAGTTACTGCAGCATTATTTTTAGTCCACCCTGGTATGGACCCTTCCAGCTCAATGCTTACTACCTCTGTTGGCGATTTGCCACAGTGAATATACCTAACATAGGATGTTGTTACAAGATCTCCGGACAAGCCATGCTATCAAGACTTGCCTCTCTTTATATCAATGCCTTGAATATCCAGAATCACAGCTTTCTTCAACCTGTTTATCTGGCAAAGGGATCTGTTGATGAGGGATCATGGAATTTATATTCAAAATCTCTGGAGGTTGGGGAAAGCTGTTGTTGCAAATAGGAGCAAAGCCTTTATCATGTGAATAGCAGATATAACTCCTGTTTGTTCTGTAATAATGAAAGTGTGCTGATAAACATATTGTACATACCCTTAATGCACATCTATCATCATAGTTTACTTAGAACTGAGACATAACTCAATTTTTGAATAAATCATTTTTGCAGTGAATTTCATTTTTGAGTAATAAGCTGGAGCAACCTACCTTCTTGCCCATAACAAGTACAGCTGTAATTCACTACTTTTCAATGGAAAAGCAATTGTTACTCAGGGAGGTGAGACTGAGCAGTAGAAGGAGGAAGGATTGTAAGTGGCTTATTTTTTGTTGCTGCCTCATGCAGTGTGGTGCAGCATGCAAGGAAGTGGGAGCAAGTGACTGGGCAGCCAACAGCAAAGACCACCCCAAAGAGAGGGGTGAGGTCAGTTAATTGAGCCAGAAGGAAACTAAAAATGATGGAGTGGGGAGGTAGAGTTGTTGCTGATTATGTCTGTGAACTGTTCCATCTTGCAAGCTCACAAGGCACTTACACTCCCATTCCTTTCCAAAGGCGAATCACAGGGTGGTGTGGAAGGACCTTTTGGGGTTTTGCAGTTCCTCCTTGTCTCCCCACCCTCCTCACCCCCTGCCCACAACTTGATCTCCCTCCCTTCTGTTTTCTGAAACGTACTCCAAAGCAAATTACAAAAAGATGGTCTCTAGTAATTAACCCCTATGTATCCAGGGTGAGATGAGGTTATTTGTTGTTTAAGCTACAATCAATCTTAACAGAGACAAGGAGTCACTAAATGCCACGAGATAAGTATATTAGTGTTATTAACACCAGTAATAGTGATAATGTTACAGTGGGGTCTTGACTTGAGAACTTAATCCGTATTGGAAGGCGGTTCTCAAGTCAAAAAGTCTGTAAGTCAAGCCGTCTGTAAGTCAAGGGTCCACTGTATTCAATTGTATTCTCAGTTTTTACTGCTTGAAATGGATAAGTGCTTGAGGGATTTTCTGGCGGAAACTAGAGAGTGGTTTCCTGTGTTTTTTAATGGTGCAACAGTAACAACAATAATAATAATAATGTGTTTGTAAGGAGTAATGCAACAATTACTCCCCCAGCTGCAAAACTGGCAAAAATGATGATCTGATGCCTGTGAAAGATAATGAGTAGTACAATGAATTCCTTTTTTAAAACTATCCCTCTAAGTTCTAACTGTTTTGTGCATGCCAATGTCATCCGATTTCAGAAGTGAAGTACAGTAGGGTTGAGCTGCTTAGAACTTAGATGGGGGTATACCAGCAGGGATCTTCATATAAGACTAGTAAAGAATCCAATCCGAAACCCCTGGAGAGCTGCTGTCAGTCAGAATAATAAACTTAAGTGAACTCAGTATTAAGGCAACTTCATGTGTTCATATTTTTCATGCTCCTTGAATGTGATAAAGCCATTGTTTCTTGGAGAAAAAAACCCAGAATATTGCAAGGACTATTATCCAGTCTTGTGAAAGAAGAAATAGGAATACTGTAGATTTCTAACATCCATGTCTTATCCCATTATGTTACTTGCAAACAATACTTATGGCATTAAATCACTCTGGCATCTTATAAGACAAGCACAAACAAGGTTTGGCACAGATGCATTGCACTTGAATTGTCAATGTGTCAACAAGTCTAGAAATTTCCATAGGGGTGAACTGGATGCCTGCCCTGACATTAAGCTAGTGAAAAGAGATAGAGGGTGGGGGAAAAAGCAGGCATGTTCTTGGGAAATTAACCTCTAAGAATCCAGGTACATGTTTGTTCTCCTCAGCAAGAAAATCCACAGCAGGAGCAAAACTGATAGTTAAGTCAAGCTAAGCTCTAGCCAAACCTACGTTGTCTATTATATATCCCCCAATATTTGAAACAAGATAAATGTATTTATCTTATATTTTGGAATGCAAAGGGTATTTTGTTTGAATTCCTTAAACGTTATGAATCCTAGTATCTTGATATTCTTATACTTCATCTTTTCTCTCCCCTCTTCACTCACTGTCTCCCTGCTTTTCCTTGACTGACTCTTTTTTTATTCCTTGTATTTGTACCTAACTGAATAGTGTAGGGTGGTAAGTGTGATAATATATTTGGATAAACTATTAATAATTGTTTCATCTTTATTACATCTTTAAAAGGCCTCACAGTGCATGGTATTGATGGTACGGATGCCACCCCCATAGTTCTTGTGACCACAATATACAATTTTCATATTTCTAACATTCAGCTGCTACACTTTAACCTGCTATTATTTATTTTTTAAAAGCCCAGATCCTATTGAGTGTTTAGGTTGGCAAAATAAACTGATTTAAGTCTTACTGGGGAATTGTTGGAGGTTAAAAAGTTAGTGTAGGCATTTGCTATTTGCACACTGCATTGATTGGACTCAATGGCTTTATAGGCCCTTTCCGACTCAGTTATTCTATGATTATATGTAACTTGGTGTACAGCAACAAATACCTATGCTAACTTCATAACTTGCAGCAATTTGCCAATCACACTTACGCCAATTGTATTTTGCCAGCAGGTGCAGATCAAATTTTAAACATAATCTCCAAACATGAAATTTTACCAGTGAAGTTCCATCCAATGTTAGGTAAAATTAGGTACATATCAGCAACTTTGATCAAAGAAGGGTGACTCATGTACAGTAAATGGAGTGCATATACAGAGAGTAAAGCATGGCAGATGTCTAGGATTAGTACAAAGCAGCTTCTACGTGTAATTGCTATTTCTAGTTTGCAAATAGACACTGGCTTTATATAATTTCTAAAAAATATTGTTTCTTTTACTCTAGACAACACAGCTTGGATTTTAACCAGGAGATCAGGCTTCCGGCAGCATGAGCAGAATATTTTTTATCTTCCTATCCTGATAACTGACAGTGGACGCCCCATGCTGAGTAGCACTGGGACGGTAACCATTCATGTTTGCAACTGTGACGACAAAGGTCTTGTGATGTCCTGCAATGCGGAGGCCTATGTTCTGCCTGTCAGCCTCAGCAGAGGAGCACTTATTGCCATTCTAGCGTGCATCTTCGTCTTGCTAGGTAAATATATTTACAGTTTCAACAAAGAGTAATCCCATCTGTTCTTAAAATACCACTGGAAATGCTACTTTACTCAGTGAGTGGAACTGCCAATTAAAGCAGTATTTTAGAAACAATAAGGTTTCAAAAGGATATTTCTTCCTATTATAATTATTGTACGGGAATATTTAGTGTGCAATAGTGTTTTTATTCATTGGACTTGGAATGGAGTTCAGGCTGTCCAGAAGTTTCAAGTTCCTATCAGCCCCTGCCAATAGCTGGAAGGTCAAAGGTTTGCCACTTCGGATTTAGGGCATTTAGTGCACATAATTCCAACATCAGGTCTGGGTATCTCCTGGCCGATCAGCAAGGGTTTCCTACTTCTATTTAAGAATAGCAATAATTAAAAAGTTTTTCTCAGTCACACACAGAGTTTTTGCTTAGAAAATGATAACAATAACTACCTAACATTTGAAAGCCTATGAAACTATAATTAATCACCTTAGAATGTAACTTTCCAAACTAAGCACAACAATGAAATAGGGTACTGAAATTCTACTCAGATGTTATGAGTCCCTAAGCCCATCTACCTTGACATCTGTCACTGTTTGTTCTTTGGCGAAGAGACAGTGTGACATTGACTGGAAGAAAAAATTCTCTTTCAAAGTTTATGTTTTGCTTACTTCTCTGTAGTGCTGGTGCTGCTGATCTTATCCATGAGAAGACATCGGAAGCAGCCTTACATTATTGATGAAGAGGAGAACATCCATGAGAACATTGTCCGATATGATGATGAGGGGGGTGGGGAGGAAGACACGGAGGCTTTCGATATTGCTGCCCTGTGGAACCCTAGAGAAGCACAAGTGGTGCTGAAGAGCAGACAGGACATGATGCCAGAAATCGAAAGCCTCTCCAGATACGTGCCTCAGGCTTGCACGATGGATAGCAGCGTCCATAGCTATGTGTTGGCCAAGCTCTACGAAGCTGACATGGACCTCTGGGCGCCTCCCTTTGACTCTCTCCAGACATATATGTTCGAGGGCAACGGCTCAGTGGCAGAGTCACTCAGCTCCTTACAGTCGGTGTCTACGGACTCAGAACAGAGCTATGACTATCTCACAGACTGGGGGCCTCGCTTTAAAAAGCTGGCTGAAATGTACGGTGCCACAGAAGCCCTTTGGTAACAAAGAGGGGAAAGGTAGAGTACTCTAGTACTCCGTGCAGCCATCCAGATTTGTACTCGTCAGATACGAGGACATGGGTGAGGTGGCTTCCTACAAATAGCAATATGGTGCTTGAGGGAGAAGGTGGAAGAGAAGTGCAAATAAATAAATGCTCTCTCTGGATCAGCTTTACTCAGTTACATTAAGCTACATTTGTAAACAACAGCAAACAGAAAATGGGTGGGGATTATTTCCTGGGTATGGATTTCTTTTTTTTAATGGTTACCCCCAAACATTACACTCCTGGACTAGAAAGATATTATCATCTTTTGCTGATTTCTTTTTTTAGTGGGTGGGGATTATTTCCTGGGTGTGGGTTTTCTTTTTTTTTAATGGTTACCCTCGAACATTACACTCCTGGACTAGAAAGACATTATCATCTTTTGCTGATTTCTTTTTTTAAACACACAACATCTTATTGAAGTTCCTTTTGTTTGGGTGCAAAGAGCAGTAATTTTCAGTTCACGAGGAAATTGTCTGCAGAAAGCCTTCCCAAATGGGGATGATGCCCTCTTTTCCTATCTCAATTTTTAAAAGCAATTGCTTTCTAGCAAATTCAGGATGGCACAGAATGGAACAAACCGTGAAATTGGGGTTAATTTCACCAGCAAGAGTCCTATGGGCTTTACAGAAGGCCTGACTGATGCCATCTTGCATAGCAAAAGAATCTGATTGGCAGGAGCATTGGATTGCACTAAATTTGAATAACACCTGACCTGTGAGTCATATGCATTAATACTAATATAAAGTTAATGTATGTTCAGCATCTCTCTTCAGCTTTTAAAAGTGTGTCCAGAATTAAGCCAGAAAAAAAGATGCCTCTTTTTGCACTGTAGATATTTCTTCCACGTGCCAAATGTGAAAATCGGATGCTACCAATGAAAGCCAAATAAACTTTAAAAATGAAATAAAATTGATAACTATATGAGGGTTAAAGGGGCTTTCCCAAACTATGTGTGATCAAACTGAGGGAAGTTTACACTGTAGGTAACCTACTTGAACAAATGCAGTATTATAGAGGAATAAATGGATGTAATAAATATTCCATATATAAGTTTTGTATATTTGTTAATAATTTTGGTAATAAATATCATGTACTGAAGACAGTACAGTATCTTAGAACTTCTTTTAATAAAAGTTAAACTGAAGGAAAAAGATTGTCTGGTGATGTGTGATACGTCTTGTCTTTTATGTCTAAGAATTGAAAAGGGACCACCACATACCTCCCCTAGGCCATGTCACATTTTCTGAGAAATAAATCCTCACTTGTCTCATTCTCACAGCAAAAAACGAAAAACTGAAATATTCTTCTTCCAACTGGAAAGGAAGGCAATGAATTTCCTTGTCCTCTCAGTAAATATTTTGCACTGACACGAATGTTTTGTGAAATTACCCAATTGTGAGTTTTTCCCTAAGATGATACTATTTGCAGAAAACAGTGCAGTTGCGAACACTGTGAATTGTCCAAAAATAAGATGATTCTTGTTTTGTGAAACATTCTATCGGCCGTTTGAATCTTTTTCAATGACCAGGCAATTCTTCTGTGCTTGGGGGAGTGTTTGCTTCACCAATGGACTCTGTAGACATTACAAGCAAATTATAGAGAGCTGGGGTGGGGGATAATCTCTTTGTCTTGGTGAATGGGAAATCATAGGGCTTTGAAATTCCTCATTGTCTTGAAACACCCTAAACTTACCCCTGTTTCATCAAGCTTGTTTAAATGTAATGAGAGGAAATAGACATACTGAACTGAAGCAACTAATTGTTGAAAATTGAGGGAGGAAAGGTGTGTGTGTGAAAGACACACACACACAGAGAGAGAGAGAGAGAGAGAGAGAGACTTGACTCTTTCATAAAACCATGAAAAAGGAACCTTCTAAAATTTAATCCACACTGCATTTAGCTCTGCAGTATCTGCTGAGAATAGCAGAAGTCTGAAGTGTGTAGCAATCATGTTTTTCTATTTCTCATCCCCAAAGCAGACAAGAGTATCATAGTTTATTCCCAAAATCTGAATCCCAGTCTTTCTGCTCCTGGTCCTACTTTGACTGCAGCACCAAACAAAAGACTGTGGGTTTCTTTGAGTCAATCCATCTCATGTACAGTCTTCCTTTTTCCTACTGCATTGCACTTTTTCCTGCATTGCTGCCTTTTCCAGTGAGCTCATCTTCTTATGATGCCACTGTAGTCAAGTACCCTTTGTTTGGTTATTTTAGCTTGTAGTGAAAGTCCACACTTAATTTGCTTTACTTATCTTTCTGACAAGTCATGCTAGGTTCATCATCGCTTTCCTCCCAATAAGCAGGCGTCTTTAAATTTCATGGCTGCTGTCACCATCTGCAGTGATCATGGAGCCCAAGAAGGTAAAATCTGTCACTGCCTCCATATCTTCCACTTCTATTTGCCAGGAGGTGATGGGACCAGTGGCCATGATCTTAGGGTTTTTGTTTGTTTGTTTGTTTGTTTGTTTTTGATGTTCAGCTTCAGACCATTTTTTGTGCTCTCCTCTTTCACCCTCATTAAGTCCGCCCCCAACTTTGCCTTGGCTGCCTCTAGCAAGCACGTCATTGCTAGCACCACTCTGGCAGCCATTGATGATGATTAAATCCTTTGTGAGCTAGCAAAAAATTAATGCAACTTGCAAGGCATGTGGGACACCTTACTACTCCCTATATCACCCCATAGCTGGAGTGCAATGTGTTCCAGCAAAAATAGTGCACATCTTTATTAAATTTGGTGCATCCTGCTAGTTTGGTACATAGCCTGGCAGTCATTGATACTGATGATATATCCTGCTAGTTCAGTACACAGCCTGTGTAGATTCAATAAGATTTTGAATTCAAAAAATGTATGATTTCCTTCCTTTCAAATCAAGGGGTTATGTCAGTTTATATAAATTAGGGATGGATGGGTAAAAGGTAAAAAGTTCCCTGACCCGTGCCCTAAACCGATTAGAACAAGGCATGTACTAAGTATTCTTTACACCTCTACACAACTTGCATTAATCCACACACACAGTTTTCACATATCCAAAATTAGGGTCACACTTTTACTGGATCATTAATATCATTTAACAACCACTTACTTGAGTCCTCCCTGATTCTTCATCATTCTGGACATAAGAAAACTTGGGAATCAAAAGCAGCTCCTCATGAGACACGAACTAAGACTAAACAGGGGGGGACGGAGTCTAAACCACCACTCTGAGTTAGTTTCATAAATGTTCTCCCTTCCCCTATATTTAGAGTAGGACACCCAACCGTCTCTTTGGGACCTTTTGCAAGACCATGATCTCAAAAAAGTGATTACATAAGCATTTCCCCCTATTCCAACAAGTTTCCCTTTGGATGTCCACTGGTTGTGCAATTGATTGCAATTGGTTGTGCAATTGATTGCACAATCAACCTCAACAAGTTTGACCAGTTTCATATTTCAGAGGCACTGCTTACATGGTTTCCTTTATGCTCCAAATATAATGCTGGTCAAAAGGTCCATTTTAGATTCAAAAGGAAATAATCTAAAACCACAGAGGAGGAGCACATACTATCCCTGCCCTGCCCTTTCACCTGGAGAGCAAAAATCTGAAGAGGTTTGCTACTTGTGGAGCTTCTTCACATGATTGGCAATCCTGCATTAATGATATTTACGGAAATGGTTTAGTGTTTCGGACCCATTAAATTCATCAGGATCAATGAATTTAATGGGTCCTAATATGCACCAAGTATAAAACTTGGTGCATATTGCCTGCACATACTGGAAATCCAAAACTGCCTGTAGCTTAGGTTCACTACATGGAAACATTGACAGTTTCCTGAGCAGAGGTGACTTCAGTGCTAAACTTAGAAAAAATTACCAGAATATACCTACTGGTACCGTCAGTGACAAGGCTTGATGGGAGATTCTGAGAGCTGTCATTCAAAAAGTTAACTTCACCGTACTCTGACATTTATGATTTAAAAAATGACATTAGTGTAAACATTTTGCTATATTACATGCATCCCTAAGGTCCACCTAACATTCTTGGGACAGTTTACTTCTATCATGGAGCAGAGGCCCCCGTTGTCCACCAGATCATTATCCCCAGTTGTTATGGTTTGGTTTGGTTTGGTTTCCTCTCTTCCACCTATGCAGAAAAAACTCTGGGGTTGGCCCGTCTTCTGAGAACAGATGAACATAGAGGGGCCCACATCATTGGCTAGAATTACTCCTGCCAGCACAGAAATTTGGAATTGTGAGCAAATGTCCTACATGGGCTTTCTCTTGGACATACAACTTGCGTAACTCCAGTGCCTGTGCTATTACACTAGAACGTCTTTCCTTTCAGCAGAATCTCAGCAAGATACTGACCTCTAGGCCTTCAACTACATGTCTTACCTGAACCACACATGACTTCTCACAAGGACTTAGATCAACTGTTCACTGTTTAGTAAATACTTTTCTCTGCTTTAACACTGCTTTTATTAGAATATGTCTTATATGTAACTCTCTCTTTTTTCCCCCCTCCTATGTGTGTCATTGGTTATGAAATTGTCATTTGCCCATTCCCCAATCTCATTGTCCTGGTAAAATGAATACTTACCAGTTTTTCACTGCTTGACAAAATCATCCCTTAAAAAAAAAAAAAGAAAACCCTGAATCAAAGCTGGTTGAAATGTTAGGCATCGTGGTTTTCCTCACTGGGAAAATCTGTGTCTATTCCCCAGCCATTGCAGCACAAAATGCAAACTGCTTCACACAATCTGTTCTCCAGCCCTCTTTCAGACAAGTCAGAATTGCACAGGAACAGAACGTCAGACCAACTGCAAGCACTCCGTTCCCTCTTGGAATTTGTCAAAAAAAGCTATGTTGTCTCAGGCAAATCCATTGCCTCTGTATCGCTCTCTTTTCTTGTCCAAAATCCTGCTGAAGAATGACCATTTGGAGGCACTGCATTTACACTAAGCATGGCTACATATGAGCTAAGATACTCAATCAGAGAACTCATTTATTGCCTTTGCAGTACTGATTTTATTTTATTTTTAGATTAGTGTCGCATTGGTACATTCAAACACAGCAACTGCTATCAAACAGCTGTTCTCCCTAAGGAAATGAATTGCAACCTCACAAAGGTCAGACAAGGATTTTTCCTCATGCTAGAAACTATATTTAATACAAGACAGAGGCAACACAAACGGCAATGCTTTACATACACCATTTCCTATACAAAATGAAATTGGAGGTAGGGGAAGAACAGTGTATGAAAATACAGTTATCACCAAGCATTCTAAGTAGAGGTTGCCACT